GCTTACGGGAAATATCGTTTCTGCTCCTCAGACAGATGTCTCTTTTTGAAATGTGTCTCATGTGTCATCACAGTAATCGTAGTTTTATATATAATGAATCATAAGAGTTAATTACAGTATATATATATATATATATATATATATATATATATATATATATATATATATATATATATATAAAATTATTGTGTACGTATATTGAGTAAATTAATATTGCATGATAGATTGATTATTTTTGCAAAAAAAAAAGAAAATAATTAGTTACTTAAATAACACAAGATATTCGGAGATCATTCTAGATGTATTTAAGATGTGGAAGATTCTCCAGACATTTTGAACATCTGAATGCTCCTGAAATGTCTTTTGCTATTTAGGTATGCATTTGATTTTAAACAAAGTTAAAAAATATTGAAATAGAGTTGCTATGCGTTAATCAAATAGTCCTGTGTGTAAAAAGTTCCACACAAGAACTGTGTAATATATAACGTAAAAAATATAAGAACTTAATTTATATGTTCCTAACAAATTGATTAAGATACGTGTTGGTAAGTACTTTTTACACACATGGAATGCTGAATGCTACATTTCAAAATTGTTTAATTTATTGTGACAAATAATTTATACGATGAATATTTTAAACCAATCCATTAAAGATGTAAGTGCAAATAAAATAAAATACATAGTAGATTAGCATTTTATATTATTACTGGGTTGTTTTTTATTCTTTCTTTCCTAATTTATTCTTTGCAATTTTCGCGTGCTTGCTTGTTCTACTTTTCTCTTCTCCCTCTTTTCTTTTTTTCTACAGCACGCAAATACTGTTTACTATCTTCTCATGTTCAGTATTTTCTCCTGGAACATATTTCCTGTTTTTTCTTTATAATTTTCGTTTGCTTGCTTATTTTTTTCCTTTTCTATTCCATCTTATAAATATGTCGTACAGCTTTTAATTTGTAATTGAATTTTTATTCATTCTGACTTTACTACTGACAACATTTTTGTACAAGGTCGCATTCAAGTCTTTTGACTTTTTCGTTTTAACTAGTTGGATCCTTCTTTAATGTTCTTAGTTTGTTTATTTATTTGGTGTTTGGTCAAATCCCACTTAATAATGTGTTAAGCAATCATCTCTTTTCAAACGAATATTTGACATATCTCTCGCGCGCAACTTATCATGTGAATCTAGATTACAACAGTATATAGATCGACCTTAGCTTGTCATGTAAACGATAACTGGATATAAGACTAGTAGAGAGATAAACACATTCTCAGTAATTCCCCTCTTATCATTGACGCGCATGGAATAACGTTATCAATAATTTCATAATTTAACACAACATAGAGAACTCTTCTTATTGATATTGATCATGAACATATGAAGATGACGTCCACTAAAGTCACGAGCAAACCAGAATCCAAGACAGGTAATAGAAAAATAATATGTTCAGAAGTCACGCTACACATGTGGAATAATTTCTTAACAATGATGTATTTAATGTTGTTGGCGACAGCAGAGTTGAGAGAGAGCTCTTCGAGTTACGAAAGTATAAAGCCCAGTGACGAGTTCCTATACATTTTCAACCAATCATGGACATATAGGACAAATCGCAATATTTTTAGCAAAAAACAAGCTGAAATAATGAATATGACTATGGACAAATTGTTTAATATCATAATCGACTCGCGAAAGCCAAAATTAAATGATACAATAATTCTTGCATACAGTTATCAAAATATGTGTCATGCACACGTTCAGTCAGATGAGGAAGAAGAACTATATATTGCGAAAGACTTTATTTTGCGTTGTGTGCGTTTGATAAAAGATAAAGAGATGAATTCCAAATATATTTTGATAGCTTTAAAAGCCTACAATCATTTAGGTTATATTTATTATAAACAAAATAAAATAGACCAAGCTATAAAAATATATGATAAAGCTGTAGAATTATATTTATCATATACACAAGCAATTGAAGAGTACGGTATTCCCGTTGATTTTGAAAATTTAATTAAGCCATCTGAAAATCTAAATGGTCACGAAAAGCTAAAGAATGTATATATATTTATTTTAGAATCATTAATAGATATACATACAGAAACGGTACCAAAAAATGATCACAACTTAATGATATGCAGACATTTGCTTTTGGTTGCTGAATTTAAAAGATTACCACAAACTACAAATTATCTCAAGTGGATTGAAAAAGCATCGATATTATGTGAGTGTTTATTAAAGTACAATCGTTTCATTGAAGCTGAAAATCATCTTATAATTATGTGGTATGTAAAAAAAATCTACATTGATAAAAAATATAAAGAAATTAAAGATAGGAGACAAGAATATTCCTTGGAAATATCTAAGTTGAATAAAGAGTCTAATATCGCAATGTATTACATTAGTGAGTATACGGTGAGGTATTTACTTGCTCTTATGCATTTGTCGGCGCAGCGATTATTGCGATTAGAAAAGGTCACAGATTCTGAGAGTGACAATCTACCATCAAATTCGAAGGGACGGACTATGCCGAACTTACTATTATTTCATAAAACAGAACTAGAGAATCCAATTCGAAATAATGACAAATTAATGACGATTCCATATATCACAGATTATAATACTGCTTATAAAAACTTTACTATTGTCCTGAAATGTGCTTACAACTGGCTGTCATATGTGAAGAGTACTATGGATATAAAAAAATTTACACAATTTACATTAAACATTTCTAACGCATACAAATATATGGCTCTCTATGAGCAGGATACAGCCAGCCAGATTTTACTACAAAATCAGCGTATAGATATTTTATCGAGTGCTATACAAGTAATATCTTTAGAACATCTTAGCATGTTGAAGTATCTGTGGCTTCAACTGGCATTTACTTATTCAACCGTAATAAACATAAAGTTTGAACATTTGGAGACAATTCATCCACTGTATATGCCACAAAAACATAATACAATTATGCTTGAAATTAACAATCTATTAAAGAATGCTCTTATAAATTTGAACATGTACATGCAACATACACCATGCACTACACGTGTGTGACATACACGGGAATTTGATATAATGACAAATTATTGTTACTTAAAAATAACAGTTAGCGAATTTTTTATTAGTTCCACAAATTGATAGAAATGTACTCAATAATATTACAGTCTTGATGTTGGAAAAGAAATAATTAAATTATTTTAATGTTTATAAAATATTTAGTTAATAAGAAAATGGTTTTATATGTAAGAATATACTATAGTTAGTAGCATTTTTATTTGTGCGTATATTGAATAGTTAAGCTTGTTAAATTAGTTTTTATTGTGTGAGATAAAATAATTATTTTAATACAATAAAAAAATTGTTGGAAATTACGTAGATAACTTAAGGGAGTGCTGGAGTTGATGACGAACTGAAACAGTGTCAATAATGTAGAAACAATCGTCACTAACATAATTACGCTATCCTTTTTATATTTCTTGTATATACAGAACTTACATGAATGTGTGTTGCTTTGTTTTACCATATTCAACGGAAAACCTAATCATATATGTGTGGGAATCTTTCTGCACACTTTTTCGATATTTTTAAGCTTCCAAATGCATATGCGAAGGTAGAGCAATGTTCTTCAAAATTTTTGTTTGGAGCATTTACACTTTTATAGAAGCTGCGAAACTTTTTGATTAGACAAATATTACGCTGACAGTTTGAGATTTTACATTCAAAATTTTTTGTTCGTTTTTGTCACATATCAAGCAATGCTCCTATTTATTTTTGCACGTACTTTCATTGCGTAAAAGCATTTGTAATTCTGTATAATCAACACGACGTAAACTTTGCAGAAAAATGTCAGTGTTCTGTCGATAAAGTTTTCAGCTTCAGCATTCCCTTAAACAGATCAATTCTATCGATAAAAAGTTTCACAAGATCAAACGATAGGATAAGTAATATAAAATATCAGAACTGCTGTATCTTAAAATTGTTCAACTTTTATATTAAAATAATTTATTCTAAGAATAGTTTATTGCAATTTGGTCGCTGAATCGAATTGTCCATTGTAAATTGGTTAAAAAATAAGTTTTTATTTTATTAAACAGTAGAATTATTTTAGAACTATTTTTACTAATAGTACATTTGTAGAAATAAGCACTTTAACAACTCGAATTCACATTTTTATTTTGTATATAAGAATGAGATTATGATATAAAAAATGAGAAGGATAAAGGAAAAATAAAATATTGAAGATATAAGTGTAAATAAAAAAAAATATAATAGATCAATATCCTGTTGATATGTTTCTGATATTTTGCTTGCTATTTTGTTTATAATTTCTACTTGTCTCTTTGTTTTATTTTTCTTCCTATCTTTTGTGCGAATGCACCATATGCACCATGCGAATACACTATACAACTTATAATTTACAACTGAATTTGGATTTTGATTCATTCTGGTTTTAGTTGCGGATAACATTTGTATATAATGTCGCAAACGAATCATTTGACTTTTTCGTTTTAACTAGTTGGACCCACAGTTCTTCTTTAATGTTTTTAGCTTGTTAATTTCCTTGGTGATGGTCCAAATCCGATTTAATGATGTGCTAGGCAATCATATCTTTTCAAATAACCAAACGAATATTTAACATATCTCTCGCGCGCAACTTATCATGTGAATTTAGATTACAACAGTATATAGACCGACCTTAGGTTGCCATGTAAACGTTAAATGTAATTGGATATAAGACTAGTAGAGAGATAAACACGTTCTCAGTAATTCCCCTCTTACCACTGACGCGCATGGAATAACGTTAATAATTTCATAACTTAACACAAAATAGAGAACTCTTCTTATTGATATTGATCATCAACGTATAAAGATGACGTCCACTAAAATCACGAGCAAATCAGGATCCGAGACAGGTAATGAAAAATTATGTTTAGAAATCACGCTACATATATGGAATAATTTTTTTAACAATAATTTATTTTATGTTGTTGGCAAAAGCAGAGTTAAGCGAGAGCTCTTCGAGTTACAAAAATATAAAGCCCAGTGACGAATTCTTACACATTTTCGACCAATCATGGACATATAAGAGTAACCGCAGTACTCTTACCAATAAACAAGCCAAAACAATGATTATGACTATGGACAAATTGTTTAATAAAATAATCAACTCGCGAAAGCCGAAATTAAATGATACAATAATTCTTGCATACAGTTATCAAAATATGTGTCATGCACACGTTCAGTCAAATGAGAAAAAAGAACTACATATTGCGAAAGACTTTATTTTACGTTGTGTGCGTTTAATAAAAGATAAAGAGGTGAATTCCAAATATATTTTGATAGCTTTAAAAGCCTACAATCATTTAGGTTATATTTATTATAAACAAAATAAAACAGAGAAAGCTATAAGTGTATTAGATAAAGCTGTAGATCTATATTTATTATATACACAAGCAATTGAAGAGTACGGTGTTCCCATTGATTTTGAAAATATTATTAAGCCATCTGGAAATCTAGATGGTCACGAGAAGCTAAAGAAGGTATATATATTTATTTTAGAATCATTAATAGATATACATACAGAAATGGTACCAACAAATAATCACAGCTTAATAATATGCAGACATTTGCTTTTGATTGCTGAATTTGATAGATTACCACAAACTAGAAATTATCTTAAGTGGTGTGAAAAAGTATCGACATTATGTGAGTGTTTATTAAAGTACAATCGTTTCATTGAAGCTCAAAATCATCTTACAGTTTTGTTGTATGTGAAAGCAGCTTACATCGATGAAAAATATAAAAAAATTAAAGATAGGAGACAAGAATATTCCTTGGAAATAGCTAAGTTGGATAAAGAGTCTAATATTATAAAATATTGCATTAATGAATATATGGTGAAGTATTTAATTGCTCTTTTGCGTTTCTCGATGCAACGATCACTGCGATTAGAAAAAATCACAGTTTCTGAAAGTGACAACCTACAATCAAAGTATTCAACAAATTCAAAGAAGCAGATATTGCCGAAATTACTATTATTCCAATTAGAAAAAGGGTATCCAATTCCAAAGGAAGACATATTAACAACGATTCCATATATCACAGATTATAATGATGCTTATGAAAAATTTACATTTGCTCTGAGATATATTTACAACTGGGTGTCATATGTGAAGAGTAATGGTAATCTGGATACAAAAAAATTCACACAATTTATATTAAACGTTTCTAACGCATACAAATATATGGCTTTCTATGAGCAGGATACAGCCAGCCAGATTTTACTACAAGATAATCGCGTAAATATTTTATCGATTGCTATACGTACAATATCTTCAGAACATCTTAACGTGTTGAAATATTTGTGGCTTCAACTGGCAATTACTTATTCATCTTTAATAAATATAAAGTTTGAACAATTAGAGACAATTAATCCACTGTATACGCCACAAAAACATGGTACAATTATGTTTGAAATTAACAATCTAGTAAAGAATGCTGTTATAAATTTGGACTTATATTTACACACGGAATGAATTTGATATAATAACAAATTATTATTACTTAAAAATAACAAAGCGAATTTTTTATTACCCAGCAAACAGGATGACATCAAATGATGTCTTAATGACATATTATTGACGTTAGAGATGTCAATAATACATCATTAAGATGTCGTTTGATGTCATCTTGTTTTCTGGGTAGTTCTACAAATTGATACGAATGTACTCAATAATATCACAGTCTTGATGTTGCAAAAGAAATAATTAAATTATTTTAATGTTTATAAAATATTTAGTTTATATGAAAATAATTTTATATGTAAGGATATACTATAGTTTGTAGCATTTTTATTTGTGCATATATTGAATAGTTAAGTTAGTTAAATTAGTTTTTATTGCGTGAGATAAAGTGATTATTTTAATACAATAAGAAAATTATTGGAAATTACGTAGATAACCTATGATCGATTATCCAGAATATATATATATATATAGATTATCCTAAATGTTCTCAAGATATTCTGCTAATATTTTAAGCATTTTACGGATTATTCTTTTTGTTATTTAAATATTCACTTGATCTCATACAAAAATAAGTAATGTTTAAATGTTACTATGTTAATATTATTGTTTAAAAGGTACTGTGATTAAGCAGATCAATTCTATCGATAAAAAGTTTCACATGATCAAATGATAGGATAAGTAATATAAAGTATCAAAATTGCTGTATCTTAAAATTGTTCAACTTTTAAGTTAAAATAATTTATTCTAAGAATAGTTTATTGCAATTCGGTCGCTGAATCGAATTGTCCATTGTAAATTTGTTAAAAATTAAGTTTTCAAAGTTTTTAGAAAAATTCTGTTACATTTTAATAAAAAATTGGTAAACATTTTACATATTTTTTGGACATACATATATTTTTATGCTTTTATTTTATTAAACTGTAGAACTATTTTAGAACTATTTTTAACTAAAAGTATATTTATAGAAATGCGCATTTCAACAACTCGGATTTACATTGTTACTTTGTATATAAGACCCTTATAGAAATATCATACTAAGAATCATTGACAATTACTTATTATCCAGTATTTTTAATACTGAAAATAAGTAATTACCAATGATTCTTAGTATGATATTTCTATAAGGGGAAAATATGAAATTATAATATAGAAAATGAGAAGGATAAGGGAACAATAAAATATTGAAGATAAAAGTATGAATAAAATAAAAAATATAATAGATCAATATCTTGCTTAATATGTTTTGGGCCTTTTGCTCGCTATTTTGTTTATAATTTCTATTTGTCTGTTTGTTTTATTTTTCTTCCTATCTTTTGTAAGAATACGCCATATTCACCACGCGAATACATTATACGACTTATAATTTACATCTGAATTTGGATTTTTATTTATCTTGGTTTCAGTTGCGGATAATATTCGTGTATATTGTTGTGTACGAGTCATTTGACTTTCTTGTTTTACCTAGATCGGCGGATCTGCTTTCAATTTGCTTATTTCTTTTGCATTCAGTCCAAATTTGACTTATTGGTAAGTTAGGCAACCTTCTATTTCCAAATAACCATACGAAAATATTCAGGATATATATCGCGTAGTTTCTCATACAAACCCAACTTAAACTAATATCATATAAGCTTCTCATATAAATCAAACAATAAATAAACTGATCTCTTATATCAACATAAGTCTAAATGTATAATAAATCAGTATCACATCTCTCGTGGCATTTTTTCTTGCTTTTCCTTTGCTCTTTGTAATTTTTCTTTGTTTGTTTGTTTTGTTTTTTCCTCTCTTTCACCGCTCTCATATACATTCTAGCATTTGCTTTGTAAATAAAATTTGATTTCAATTAATCCTGCTTTTATTTGCCAATAACAATCGTATAGGTTTTCTCATTCGACTCATTTATCCTACTCGCTTTAATTAACTGGACCGACGATTCTTTCTTCCTATTTTCAAACAGACTGCCTATTTCTTTTCAATTCGAACTAAATCCGACTCAATGGTATATCAGGCAATCTTCTATTTTCGAATAAACACACCAATATTCTGTGTATTTTCGATGCATGTTCTCAAATAATACGGCTATAAGTAAACTTCATTTAGGTATAAAAGTAGAATATAATTAGATATAAAAGTAATTAATAATTGAACGTGTTCACGAAAATGTGACTTGACTTGTCACTAACGCACTATAAGTGAAAAGTTACGACGTATAACAATAATTACATAACTTGATACAAATTAAGACACAAACACTCTTCTTATTGACATCGATCGTCAACATATTCCTTGAGGAAGATGTCCACCAAAGACGAACCGAAATTCGAGTCAGGTAATAAGAAAATAATATGTTGGAAAGTCGCGCGACACATGCGGAATAAACTTTTTAATATTGATTGATTTAGTTACGAAAGCACAGTCAGTGGAGAGCTCCGTGAGTTTGGAATGCATGATAAAACCCAGCGACGAATTTCTTCAAGTTTTCGAATTAACAAACACATTTTATACAAATAAAAGTACTCTTAAAAAACAAATCAAGACAATGGAAACGAAAATAGACAAATTATATAACAAGGTCATCAACTCGGAAAACGCAACATTATAACTCTTGCATATTGTTACCAAAATTTATGTCATGGTTACATTAAGTCAAATCAGAAAGAGGGACTACGTATAGGAAAAACTTCTATTCTGCGTTGTTTAAATTTGGTGAAAGGTAAGGAGCTGGATCCCAAATCTATTTTGATAGCTCTGAAAGGCCATTACCAATTAGGTTTTATTTATTTTAAGCAAAAGAAATCAGAAGAAGCTCTACAAACATGTAATAAAGCTATAGAATTATATTTGACATATACACGCGAAAATGAAAAATACGCAAGTCTTATTGATTTTGAAGGTAATATCACTAAATCACCGCTAGATGGTTATTATTTGCTAAATATAGCATATAAAAAGCATATATAGCATTTTAACATTATTAATAGAGACAAATACGAATATAGATGATCACAATATGATGGTATACAATCATTTGTTTTTAGCAACTGAGTTGAATACATTAGAAGAAACGAAAAAATATCTTCAGTGGATTGAAGAAGTATTGAAGATGTGCAGGAATTTATTAAAGTACGATCGTTTTGCAGAAGCCAGGAATTGTATTGTTACTGCAACTAATGTGAGAGTCATTTATTCCCATAAAATATCTCATAATATAGTGAGACAGGAATTATCCTCAGAAAAGCTGAAGCTAAATGAAATCATAAGATTGAATGAACGTATTTATTGTGACTTGGCAAAACTTTGTGATTAGGCTTTTGCGTAGATCGGTAGAACGATTGGTACGATTAGAAAAAGACGAAGAATTTGGAGTCAATAACTTAAAATCAGAACATCTAACAAAATCAAAGGAATATGTATCATAGAGATTACTATTATTCAATGAAATAGAACGGAAATTCCGCTTCCGCATGTCGATCGACTCGTACCGGTTAAATACATTACTCATTATGATGATGCAAACAAATTATTTATCAGTAACTTCTGGAATATTTCCCTTGTAAAATCTTGTGTTGATAGCGAGAAGGATTTAAAAACATATTTAGGAATTATGTTAGATTCCAGCAAAATATATAAATATATGGCACTCCATGAAAAGGACGTAACCAGGCGGAACTTACTACAAAATGAGTAAGTAGATATTTTATCGGAAATTGTAGAAAACAAAATGTTTTTGAAGCGTCCTGACATGTTGAGTTGTATACAGTTACACTTAGCGATTGCTTATTCAACTTTGATAGAAGTAAAACTTGAAAATTTGGACGCAATTCACCCACTATACATGCCACAAAGACATAACGCAATTATGTTTGAAATCGAATACCTAGTAAGAAATGGCTTGACAAATTTAAAAATGAGTACGACATTTGTATAGTTTATGTTAAGTAATAAATTTTGAATAGGTTAATTGAAAATAAAGAAAAAACGAGGTTATAAATTTTTATAATATGTAGTTTAATGAAAGGATTGTTTAATGGAAAATACAATGTTACAACATGTTTATTTGTGCGTATATTAAACTGATTAATATTGTGTGATAAATTGATAACTTTTACAAAAAAACGACATAATTTTGTAAATAACTCAAAATATCTAATGATCATCTTGGACGTTTTCAAAATATCTTGAGAGATATTTTTCAGAGATATTTTTCAGAGATATTTTTTATTATTTAAATATTTACTTGATTATAAACAAAGATAAGAAATGTTTAAATATAGTTACTGTGAATCAGTAAGTCAATTTCGTTCTAATAAAAATTTCACGAGAATAATATGTAATATAAAATATATATAAGGACTTAAAATGTACGAGGGTGGTCTGAAAAGTTTCCGACCTAACAAAGATACAAGTCATTTTTTCTGAAAATTGTTTTTTATTGTTCAACATAGTCTCCTTGTAAATCTACACACTTCTCCCAGCGATGCTCCCATCTCTGTAACCCGTCGAAATAGTACTCGGCGTTTTTCTCTGCAAAATAATTGTTCACGAAGGTGATTGCCTCTTCATTTGACGAAAATCTCTGTCCTCCGAGCGCAATTTTTAGATGAGGGAACAAAAAGAAGTCGCTTGGGGCTAGATCTGGTGAGTAAGGTGGATGGTCAAGCAGTTCAAACCGTAATTCGTGGATTTTCGCCATGGCAA